AAAAAGGCCAGAAACCTTTGTAACATATCATTAATTTTAAATGCACTGCTCGAAGTCCTATCATTTAGTCTGACTAGAATCAGTATCATGTTCCACATGGAAAATATTGAAAGAGTAAGACAAGTTAACATTAGTCCTTCACACTCTCTTTTTTTTGTTTGTTTGTTAATACTGCAGTTTCAGTGATTCACTTGAGACACAATCGTCGTACTGTCCTGACATTAGAATCGTGAATTTTAAAAACATCTAATGTTGACTCAAACTGCACCTTCTAATCAATGTCAGCAAACTCCCCATGCTTTTCTTCTCACAGCTAAATCACCAGGGGCGCTCCTTTCTGCAACACGAGAGCAATTCAGTTTTTTTTTTTAAGACAGCTAAATTATGATGTCTTAGGCACTTTGTTGTAAAACACATTGCAATTTCGCTAGGAGCTGCTTTTTCCTGTCACATTCAATTACTATATTCCACAGACATCCTGTGCTCCTGGGCTTGCTACTGGCTATTGTGTTATATCAGCGAGACTTTTGACTCACTCTAAAATCTAATAATTTTCTTTTTGACCTTGAGTAAACTGGGGAAAATTTGGCCAGGAGCTAATATGTACAATTAGCTTCTCTACTTCCTCAGCTTTCAATGTTTGTACAGGTACAAATTTGACAATTTGTTCATTTTTTTGGACACCTGTGATTCTATAGAAAACTATGATCAACATTACTTCATATCTGATTGGATATATATATATATAAATGCAAAATAATATAATAAACTTTACTACATAACTATAACTATATAGTATAACTATAACTATATAGTAGACATGAAGACTATGTTGATTATCTGTGGACTTTAATTATGAATGTTTTAAAACATGCAAAACAACACAGGAAACACTTCACCAGTTCACATGGTTCACAACAGGGTTGTATCCAAAAGTTATTTTTGCACTTAGCTCTGAAGTCAGTCATTTGTACTACTGCTTAATTCTTAGTAGATTTATCCATTGACGTGGTTTCTGATGCCAAATACCCAAAAGCATTGTTGGAAAAGAGCCACGATTGTCATTTGGCTATATGCGAGCTATGGCATCGGAAAGCTGTTCTCAGACTGATGTTATCCTTATGAATATTCAGTGAAGGAAGAGGTTCCAAAAAGGTGCCATTAACAAAAGCAACGGAAGTCCCTAATTAGCCACATCATGGCAAGGAAAGGAAAAACTTGTGCTTCACCATAAAACAGGTCTTGTTTCGGATGTTTACACTCGGCAAACCTTACTCAGAAGTAGATATTTTTTGTCGCAATGCAAGGAGTGTAAATAGATAGATGGATGGATGGATGGATGGATGGATGGATGGTGGATGGATGATGGATGGATGATGGATGGATGGATGGATGGATGGATGGTGGATGGATGATGGATGGATGATGGATGGATGGATGGATGGATGGATAGATAGATAGACAGACAGACAGATAGACAGATAGATAGACAGACAGATAGACAGATAGACAGATAGATAGACAGACAGACAGATAGACAGACAGATAGACAGACAGATAGACAGACAGATAGACAGATAGATAGACAGACAGATAGATAGATAGATAGATAGATAGATTATTAAGGTGGACTTATAAAGGACTATGTGATGTTTGAATGATCAGCAAAACAAAGAATATAGTTCCAGACATGTATATACTGTACCACACTTACTTCTGAATATACACCTCTCATTTATTTAGTGAAAGAAAATGAGAGAATAATCATCACCAGGAATTATAACAGAGAATGGCTCAAAAATATAAATATAAAACAGAGAGACATCTTTGAGACTACATACATTTTTATAAAACACAGCCATGTGTTATCTTCTACAAAAAACATTGTTGGGAAACTTTTGCCACGTCTGCACTCATGTTTACAACACACAGCGATGTGGGTAATCACCTCACACATCTTCAATGTCAGCAGGATGAAACCTGTTCTTGTTTAGTCAGAAAGTTAGGTCACTGGCACAACAACGTCACTTGCTTCCTTGCTTGATACACAGTAACTGTACAGTATATGTCTTGCTGCTTCACACCTTGTGAAGTGTGCAGTAATTTTGCTTAATTAAATAACTTTAACTTTTGCCCCATATCCTCAGATGTTGGGCTAAAGTTTTGTTTTAATGCAACTAACCTACCTCCTGATGTATCCAAATCCACTACAAAGCTACACCTTTAATCCCCACCTTTTCCATAACCAGCAGATTCCCTTCTTCTAGATTCCGTGCTAAGATAACCAGCTACCTTGAGACACACAGAAGTGCTTAAGATAGTTATCTATTCACTGAATGACAACAATTGACTTCTTATCCTGGCTTTGTCCAAAACTGACCTGTCCTTTTACTTTGAAAGATACCTATAAAATGTGGAACCAAAATTCATGAAATAAAATTACAAATGTAGCCCTTTGGAAAGTTTGGAAACAAGTGACTGGACTAAGGTTCTAAAAGACTAATATCTTATCCAAGAGGTTAGTGAAATAAAAGTGAATAAAACAAACAAACAAACAAAAAAAAAAAACGTTTTGGCTGTGTACCTGATTAGCATGAGCAATTTCAACGTCAGGGGTCTCAGCTTATTCAAGGTGTGAACAAGAGTTATTCAAGGAACCTTCAAAGTGGTGGGTTTTACTGTGTGCTTATTTGATATGCCTATATAGTTTTGGGACCCACGATTGACCATGCACATAATATGCATGCATTGAGTTATTTTCTGGACTCAAAAGTCATTGATTTGTCATAAATTCTCACTGTGTGATTTTGGAAGATTTCAGTACCTGAAATCAATTTAGTATTGTATTAGGATAAAAAAGCAGGATAAAACGTTCTTATTATTATCATTGAAAGAAAAATGCATCTTTATCATTTAGCCCTATGCTAAATTACTGTACATTCCCTGTAGCCCTAAAGTGTGTCAGCAGTCGATACAGGTTTATATTCATGGATACGTTGCTAGTGGATGTCTTGTTTTTTTATAAACTTCAAAAGTCCTCTTTTCTGACATTATTCTACGGTTACCCTTTACATTCATTTATTTCCATCCACACAACCGTGGAGGGCAAATGTAAACCCAAATAGTCCTAACATATATATTTTTTACCTTCTGTTTTCAGAGGATCAGCTGCCCCCTGGTTTCCCCACCATAGACATGGGCCCACAGTTGAAAGTGGTGGAGCGCACACGCACTGCCACCATGCTGTGTGCTGCCAGTGGCAACCCTGACCCAGACATTTCCTGGTTCAAGGACTTCCTCCCTGTCAACACCACCAACAACAACGGGCGCATTAAACAACTCAGATCAGGTAGGTCTTGCCGTGCTGAAAGCTTAATTACTGAAAGGAGTCTCCTTTCTTGTTTCTTCTATCTGATCTGCTTCCCTTTAGTCTCCTCTGTTCTTTCATCCTCTTCTTCTGCCCATGATTTAACTTCTTATTTGGCTTTTTTTAAATTTTGTAGGTATTGGCATTGTCTCTACTATCTTCTGTCCTTCCACTTTCTGTACACCCCGGTGTGTGTTGTCTGTATATGTGTGTCTCCCTTTTGTCTTCCAGTGTTGTCTTGGCCTGTTGGGACTGTCTCCCCCCTCTGTTTCTGCTGGCTTCTGCACTAACGTCTCATTGCTCACTGCTGTGACCTCTTTACAATAAATTATTTTGCCTTCATGTGTTGATTTTCTTATTACTACACTGATGCAAGGGTTTTCTATTCATTACCATTTCTTAACTTTTTTTCCTCAATATCTGGCTTTATTAAAAAGCAGAAAAACAGTCCAGACAATTTTAAAATATATGCCAATAAATCATTTTCGGATCAAATAATATTTAGTTTATATGCAAGGTTTTTTAGATTTCTGGAGAGGATGAAACTCTGGTCACTAATCAGCCACAGTAGTGCGCAAACACCCCATAAGGCTTTTCCCTGACCCTTTTGATTCTTTGAATTTATACCCCTCTGCTTAAATGTGTTAACGCCATATTTGTTTTTATTTGCCTGTGACTTACCCTAATACAGCCACTCTTAATATACTAAAAATGTAGCTCAAAGCTTTATGTGCCAGCTAATGTCAGCACAGACATACAGCCTTCTTGTAAATTTTTAGCCTTGTATGTTTGACCACCTGTCTTCCGATTTCACAGCTGCCCTTTGTTAAAGCGTGTCTGTTCGCCTTCCTCCCTCTGCTGACTTGTTTTTCAAACAGAACTGTGTAGCCATAACCTTGATTTTCTTTAATCAAATGTACGACTTTGATTTTGACGTTAGAACATTAATAACAGAAAGCCTTGTTAACTCAACTTACCTCAAGAATATAATCATATTCTTATATGCTGTCTTTCTTCTCTCTATATTTTTAAATCTACAGAATCCTTTGGTAAGTGCTTAGCTCCAAAGCACACATCACTCCCTCTACCCCCCCACTAATTTTCATTTTTTACAACAACTATTAAAATGCATGGCATGCATTTTACTAACAGATAGATTAGCGTCAGGGCTAGTACTTGAGGCACATGTATACTGTACACACACACACACTCACACACACAGTCCTCACGTATGTCACGTGTCCAAACACTGTCAGCTACATTATCACTTAAAATGCTGTATGTTAGTCCCACAAAGTCCAATGTAGCCCTGTGTATTTTATTTTGGGATATTATTGTGTTTGTTGCTGACTCACTCATTGACCCACTACTTGCTCACTGAATATTAAAAAAAAAAACAGCACCATGTGTTTGAGGATTTCAAGAATTTAGGGAATTGATGAGCTCAGGTCAAACAATAAGGGATTTCATCTGCTTTACAAACTCATGTAAATAATAAAAAGGCAGTCCTTAAAGTCTTTCTCTTCAGTAGACTTTCTTCAGAAGCCATTACCACTTCTTTAAAAAAATGGCACAACCCGTGGTACATCACTGTACAAGTTCTCTCGCTCTGATCAATGATTTTTTTTCACTATGCTGAATACTGTCTTTCTCAGAAAACAGAAACGTTCCTCCCTTCTCTCTTTCTTTCTTTCTCGCTCCCTCTCTCTCTGTCCTTTCTCTTTCCTCAAGTACCTTTATTTACGTACCCTGTTAAATCTAATTTGATTCTTCTTCCAAAGCCCCCCAGACTCTATCTACACGTACTAATGATTCTTCTTTCTAATCTTATTTGCATTCATATTATCCACCCAGGTGGTACACCAATAAGAGGTAAGAGTGCTGAACTGACGTTCACAGAATGAAAATAATACAAATTCATTCTTGCTGTCAACCCATTCATATTCACTCCAACCCCCCTGCCCCCCGCCCATTTCTGTCCTGTTTACTGAGACCAAATCCCATTACCTTCATACGAACCTTCTTCTGATTTGTCCTGTTTTGTTGACATAATTTGTATTCCATTTTTTCTGTTTTCGCTTTATTTACTCCTTTGTATTCTGGTTCTCAAGAGCCTGTTTAGCTCAGTTGCGATATGCTTGCCCTGGCTCAATGAAGCATATCCAATGACAATTATTTTTTTAAATTATAATTTTTTACGTTCATTTTTGTTTTCTTTTTGGCCATAGCCAATCATGTGTCCCTCTTTTTGTCCAACTAAAACAACCAAGCATTTTTCCCCCTTAGCTGTTCTTGTTCAGCACTGAAATATGCACAGATGCTGTGGAATCACGCAGGCAGGCGGAAGACAACGTTGCATCTACTCTGCTTTTTTCTTCCAAAGAATTCTTCCTATCTTTGCAAACTACTTTTTTCCCATTTCTTCTATTTGCTCTCCTCTCCTGTACCTCTACAAAAAAGCCCAAACAACCACTTTTTTGATAAAGTTTCTTACGGTGCTTTTTTTCTCTTTCACCTATTTTTCTTACTTTTCTTGGGGTATGGAGGATATTTTACTTTTTTACATTTTTTTTCTTCAAGGTTTGGCAAAGACAAACAGTAGAGTCTGGCGAGGACCCGATTGGCTAATTTTTGCCATACAACATGGAGTTTGAGAGTTGTTGATGCTTAAAAGCCATTTTTCCCTGGGTCATGTGACACCACACTGCTGATCCCATTTGTGGATTTTTATGGGTGTCTTTTCTGGCTTTCACAAGCTAAAGCAGTGGTTGGTTGCCTTCTTGTCGGCTCAGGCTGGTATTTTGAATTTTGTCTTCTAATGCAACTGCCTTTTATTTTTCAGCTAAGGGTTGTCAGAAGGTTGTAAGTTGTGCCGACATACATTTCTTACTGAGATTTGCATGTCAGACTTTTGGTCATGAGGGTAATATATTGGTTTTGCCATGAATAAAACCTCAAATTCACTTTTTTTTTCTTCAGACATGAGCAGCATTTTTCAATTTTTGTGTGGGCTGCGATTTTTTTTAAAAACAACTTCACAAAGAAGTTCCAAATTGTTTTGTAAGTTCACTATTACACTTGATCTGTGATTGAATATGCTAAAAAATCATACAAAAATTTCTTTCTTCTTTCAATTGTCCTTCCTTGTTATTCTGCTTTCTTATACTGTAAACCTTTTTTGTTTGATCCATGTTTCCCTAAAGCAGTATCACTCATCCCCATATTGACCAGTCCAGTGACATGTTGTTTATTGATGGACTTGCCCCATAGTTTTTTAAAACTTTTTTTTTTTTTTTTTTTTTGCATTGGCTTTAGGATGAGTGTATTTTTAGACAATTTCTGCCTCTTGTCAAAATTTTCAATCAAACAATTTGGCAAATACAGAAAATTAAGATTAGTATTTTCTACTGTAAGTATAGGTGTAAAAAGAGAAAACAATAATTTGTGCATCTGCAGCCTATTGCATGATTTGCCATTAGAAACAATCCCTTAGTCAGAAAAGAATGTCATGGCTCTTATAGTAAAGATGGATACCCTTGAAATACACAGTTTGTGGCGACGCATGCAAAACTGTGGTATTTCATTGGTTTATTGAATAATGCTCACTATAACTTTCTCCAAACTGCCCAACTACTCAAGCTTGAAAGGAAAGATCCAAAGTAGAAATGAAGGCGGCTGATTTTGGCCTCCTTGAGGTCAAGCGACTTTTGTAATTGTTTAAGCCTGTGAACTTGTTGAAGGTGGCGTCGTTTAACCAAAGTATATTCTGCTACGCTATTTGTTATTCCCACTTAGGAGCCCTCCAGATAGAGCAGAGTGAAGAGTCAGACCAGGGGAAGTACGAGTGTGTGGCGACCAACAACGATGGAACCCGTTACTCTACTCCTGCAAATCTATATGTCAGAGGTAGGAAACACTTTCACTTTTTGATAGTAGCAGTTTTCTTCTTGGTTTATCTCTGTATAAGTAATCTTTAAATCAGCCGAAAAAGTCTGCAGGGGCCAGAAGCTCTCAGGTCATTGTGAGTATGCTGTTTGTTTGCCTGATTTAATTTTGTGGATTTTTGTCTGCACACAACTTACCTGCATCGACTTGTACCTAAAATATCTACTCCACTGTGTGTTTTTGGTCCTTTTTTGTTATTTTCCCAAACCTAATGCCAATAATTAGAGTGCCCGCTGTGGTTATCTACTAATTGCTTCACAAACCTGACTGTTGGAGTAAAGGGTGGATGGCCCCCCTCTGCCAGCTCCAAATCTTTTCCAGCAATAAACAAATACTTTCTCACAAATTTAGTTTTTTCTACCCTGTCTGAATTAAAATTAAAGGAAAAAAAATCATTATAAGTGAATAAATGAAATAAAAAGATCTTTTGGGCTTACTTAGCAAAATCATGGCTCATCAGCGGTGTTAGAAACTTCTTCTGTCCAGATTGACCTCAGCTGCTTTCTCTTAATGTTTAGATCTACAGTAGTTACATTTCTTTTGTCCGCCCTAATGATTTACAGTATGAGCAGCAATTCAACTGTATTTAGAGTTTGTAATAGAAGTACGAGGGTGGTTCAAGGGGTTCCCTGCAATGTAAACACAAGGTCATTCAAACTGTTTGAAATGTCCTAAAATCATGGCCTTTTTACTCTCTGTGTTTCCCTTGTTTTTTCTCCTTTCCTTATTTTTTATTTATTCTGCATCAATTTTCCTACATCCCTCAGAGCTGCGAGAAGGTTGGTGGGTTTTTACCTTTTTCAACAAGTGATAAAGACAAAGAAGTCCATTTGTGTTGTTTTCTTTCTTTTTTTTTCTATAAAAATTATTATTTACTGACATTCAAATTAAATCACATGACTTTTTTTATACCTACGTTACATAAAACATCCATGTTTGCCTTAAAATGACTCTGGTCAAAGGCTTCACTATTCACCAGGTGGCGCATGTTTGCATCTGTGAGCAGGAAGTCCATTTGCATCTGTATACAAGTGTATTTGCATGGTCACCTGCAGATGCCTGAACTCCCTTTTACCCCAGCCCTAGACCATTTGCCATTATTTTAACAAGCCTTTAAAAATATTTTATATTTAACAACACAGCTAAATTAAAATAAATCGTACTGTATATATCTGACTGCATTTGGAGGTTAACGCTACTAACAGCTACAATCCCACATATCGCAGTTCCTTTCTAAAAGCTTTCTCCATAATTAGCTTTACTCCTGTAGTTTTTTTCTCCAAACGAGCCCTCTTTCTGGTTCAACCTTCCCACAGATAATGTATGTAAAACCAAATCAATCTTTTGTTATAATTGGCACTAAAGTCATGCACCAAGCTGTAAAAACAACAGTGCCCGCTGAGATTATGCACACCCTATGATGGGAATCTCTTAGTGCAGGAAGTCGTGAAAGAATTATGTATTTAGAGTGTTATCCACAAGACTTGACAAATGTAATGATATTCAAATGAGCAGGATAATATTATGTCTGCGGGGAGCGTCATCCAATTGGTTATTAATTAAATATTGAGTGAGAGAAACGCTGTATTTAATAATGCAAGCACTTTCCCCCCAGTCTAGCTCTCTGGAGATCAGCAGGCAGCTCAACAAAATGGGTTCAGCGAATTAGCAGCCGCAACAAAAGCAATGTGCATCAACTGTAGTCAAATATTTGAAATGATGGCAATACGTTAAGAGTCCTGGTGACAGGACACTTTTCAAAGCAGGATTTGTCATAAACCGAATTTTTTACATCGAACTTCCACAAGCATTCTAACCTAGGTTTAACAAGCAACTTTACATGATGTGCTCTGATTTCAATTACTCCTAAAGACAGAAATCACATATATTTACTGTAAATATATTTATTCCGCTTATTCTTACTTTAATTTTGCACAACCACCTTTTACATGTCTATGCTCATTTTGCTGCCACAGCCCCATTTGAACTGCCTTACTCACATGGTCATTTCACAGAACATTGCATATTGTTCTTATTTGCATGACGGACTTGTTCTGCTTTAACATTCTACTTGTTTCAATCACATACGTTGGCATGATGTGCCATTAAATGTGATTGTACATAAATATGCTGTCTATTATAGTAAAACCGAAGTGTAGAAAAGTGCAAAAACAATAATCTCTCTTTGGGCCCATGCCTGGTGTTCATTAATTGTAATATTTATGCGTAGCAAGTTTCTAATCATTATAGCTTATTACAAGATTATAATCTACAAGTCAAGTTAGTTATAAATGTAAAAAGTAACAAGTTACATGTTGTAAATATAAATGCATAAATGATAATATATAAATAACATAATAATTATTTAGTTTGTAAAAGTTGGTCTAAATCAATCAACTGCTTTGATAATTCACCATTCAGATTACTATGCAAATGCAAAATTGTTGATGTGAGAATGTGATGCAGCGCATTGCCTCACATTGGCTGGAAGTACACAGCTTAAAAGTTGTTTCTGTGGATACAACTTTGTTGACTCTCCAGCACTTTGTGCAGTATTTTGTACCATGTGTATCATCAGTCAAGTCTCTCAATTACGTGCTTGTTATTATTTCATTAATCTGGAAGTCTTGGAAAAAACATGTTACTCATTATGGAAAGATTTGGTCATTGTTGTTTGTATCTCTATCTAATGTATTTGGCATAATGGAAATTTGCCAAAATTATTTCTTATCCATTTGTCCCCTCTGAATTATGTTATTTTTTATTTTTATTTATTTTTTCCTATTCTAGTGCGTCGAGTGCCTCCACGCTTCTCCATTCCACCAACGGACAATGAGATTATGCCAGGTGGCAGCGTCAATATCACGTGTGTGGCGGTGGGCTCTCCTATGCCATATGTCAAGTGGATGCTGGGTGCTGAAGACCTCACGCCAGAGGATGACATGCCGATTGGCCGCAACGTTCTTGAACTTACAGACGTCCGGCAGTCGGCCAACTACACCTGTGTGGCCATGTCAACACTGGGGGTGATAGAGGCAGTGGCACAGATAACAGTCAAAGGTAGGCCTTAGAACTGGGTGTTTGAGCTTCCACGGCGGGTGAGATAACATGACATAAAAAGTGAACAATTACTCTTGATATGAAAGTCAAATGTTCAGATTTTAAAGATGTGCTAAACAACTAAGATTTGCAACTACTTGTAGTGGTAAAAGCAAAAATTCTGTTTTTGAAAAGCCTTATTTTTGCTACCATTAAAAGTCAGCCTCACTATATGAGATGTCAGATTATAAAATACAGTGAATGGCTTATCTGTCAGATGTAGTTCTGCAGAGGCAGATATTCCAGCATTTCTGTTTGTGGAATGTGAAACACTGAATATTTTATTTTCGTGTCTTCTGTAGCCATGGACTTATCAGAGTGCAATCATATCTACACTGCAGCGAGCGACTAGATATCCATGACTAGTATGGCTGTGTTCACTTGCACTCAAGGGACACAAGAGTCACATATACACACGCCCAGCTTTGTTTTTCTAGACATAACATAGATATTAGTCACAATATAACAATCTGGCAGCGAGCTTCCCCCATAAGCACACTTCACATGGCATATTAAGACAATTTATGGCTTAGATATCTGTTGCCGTTTGCCACAGCGTGGGGAATTAAAGCAATAAATTTACCTGTTAAATTATTTAAATGATAAACACTGGGAAATCCTGGATTAAAGACAACACTGTTTTCAGAACCTCAGCACGCCGTATGCAAGGTTATAGCCTCGGAAATAATATCTAATATGCATTGTTGTTTTCAAGCAATGTAAACTACATAAATGAAATAGAATCAATGGATATTATGGCCACAGTGAACAAAAGGTGCCAGTGTCCCAAGACTCAGGACAAACTTTACATCATCTGTATCAGGTGCAGTGAGCTGAGAAATGAGAGCAATCAATATTATTCAACCATTAACAAATTAAAACAAAGTCTCTGAGGACTGTGACATAAATCACTTGACAGAGGTATTACTTTGAAATGGCTGGAGTGTAATTTGCATTTTTATTAATATTTATGTAATAA